AGAGAGAGAGCAAAAAGAAGAGTTTTTTGGACAGAGTTTGTGACTTGGATTGCATGCAATGCGGAAAAGCTAAAAAGATCAATAACTAACTGAGTTTTAGGTTTGAATAGAGTGTACAGCACAGGGAGGGTAGGAGTGGAGGGGATTCTGGAGGAGAGATAGTGAGTGCGAGAGAGAGAGAGAGAGAGAGAGAGAGAGAGAGTAAATGACAATACCATCTAGGTAGGTTAATCGGAGTGATTGTCCTAAATCTCCATAATTCATGCGAGAATGCGTGCAAATATGGCATTTGTTTTCTATCGGCAAAAGTAGGAGTCCTTTCACTGCCAATCACTTCGTCGATCTCTTTGTGTAACTTTTGTTGTATTTCCGGTTTAGCGGCCAAAACCAATAGCGCCCACTCCAGGGTTTGTAGTAGAGTACCGGTGCCGGCGCCGAACAGGTTTAGTATATTTCCCTCCAGCAAATTGTCTACAATTATATAATTAATAATTAAAATACTAATACAAATATCAATAACACTATACACTGTACTGTACATACAATCAAATGTTTTTCTATCGCTATTTTTGCGCGTTTCGTTGATGAAGGCGTCCACATAATCCCTATTATTGTTTTCATCAATTGTTTTCACATGTGTCTCGTATTCAGATCTGAATGTAATAGTGATTACAATTGTTATATTAGTTGTCATAAATAATAATATAGCTAAAACTTTTATAAAATGTATGTAAATTATAATTCGTACTTGATGATCTCTTTCATTCCCTTAAAAATATTGTTAATATGGCGTAGAGATGGAGGTATGAGAAATGTCAGGTGTTTAATGGCAAATCGGGTTACACGTGGGTAAAACGCGAAGTAGCCAGCTACATCATATTTGGGGTCCAATTTGCTAAACTCGGTGATCGCCTTCGCTCTGCTGTCCGTATACTCAAAACGGCGGCCAAAGAGCAGGAAATTGACATTATTTGAAACGCCGACCGGAAACACATTCCGGAAATCAATTTCCTGCCCCTCTTTCTCGTCCAAGAGTTGCGACAAGTGATTGATCTCATCAATGATGTGGTCCTCCATCGCTGTCTTACCGAAACCCAAATTTCGCAATTCATACAAAGCGAACCTCTTATGCTCTCTCCAAACGTCACCACTCAATGAGGTTAAGCCTGAAATACAACAAAGTTTTATTAATAATTGCAAATCTAGTTTATTTTCAATGATATATCATTGTAATAATTGTCACAAAATTATTACCCCGAGGAGTTGCCGAGTTGAAAAAGTTGTCTTTCGGCCGATATAGTGCCGTATCGTCAGAAAGTGCCTCTTTTATTGACGCCCAGTCGTTGAGTACCACCGCTGGATACAAACCCAATTGTATGCTACCAATTGTGAGAGAATTAACATGGTTATTTTTCATATAACGTGGTAACATTTATTTTTTAAAAACATACCCATAAACCGGTCCGTATTTTTTGCCCAATTCTACCAACTTTTTAGAGGTCTCGCCCTTAAGAAAGGGTAGATAACCGACAAATGGTAGGCCAATAGGACCCGGCGGCAACTTTTTGCGCATCTCATATTCATGGTATATTTGTTTTGATACAAAATATACAAATAGAGAGGTTAATAAAATGAATGCATTTGAATAAAGCCAATAAATCACTGGTAATAACAACATTATTAACTCTAGTTATAACTCTTATAATTATTAATGATTTTGAATTAAGTTTGAAAACTATTTGTTCTCATAAATGTTGAAATATTTATGATTTTTATGAGTATATATTGTGTATTTTGATCCGCTCTTTATATACTGTGCAAATGTTGCACCCAATTGTGAGGACATTATAATCTATAAATAAATACTAGATTAATAAATATATTATAATTATTAAAATCAATTGTGCAAAAAAATCTGTATATATAAATTATACTTTATGTTACACATAGTTGTTTATGATTTAAATGATAACATTCTATACTCTACAGTATTAATTCGTTTAATCTAACCATCGGTTCATAAACTGTACTTCATGTTACACATGGTTGTTTATAATTTAAATGATATGTATAACATTCTGGTGTATATTAATTAATTTAATCTAATCATTGGTTTATAAATCAAAAGCTGTTTATAATGTTTTTCATACTAAATCGTTATGTCTGTCACCGATTATTCTGATAATATTAGACACATAAATGTACTGTATGTGTCCTACAGTATGTGCTACAGTGTACAACATAGTCACTATAGCACGTGAAATACAAACTTTTTCCATGCTAAAATCAGTAAATCACCATGCATAGTTAGGATAAGGTATGTACAGATGCTTTCAAACAGATTAGGATAAAAAGATTTAATCCAGAGTCCGGGCACCGCATATGATGTTAGATACTTCAAAACCTGATTACCTTAAATAATTTTTGACAACATTTTAAGATATTAATCAATTATGTAATTAATATTTTATTAAATGATAACATTTTTCAACTTAATATTTATTATGATTTTAGATATAACATAATTAATAGACAAATTGTAATTTTAAGTTTAAAAGAAAGTTATGCTAAAAGTTATACAATAAAGTAGAATCTATAGAATAAAGTGTGCATGTTTAATGTAAAGTTGATATGATTTTTTTCAATACATCGGAAAACCAGATAGTTTGAAAGATGTAATTGAATAAACAAAAGTTTTTATACAAAATATAATTTAAAATCACTCTTTATAATTTAACGTTATAGTTTTATAATTTCAATATTATAAAAATATTTTATAATATTGAAATTATAAAAAGCAATAACTTACTTATCTATGTAGTTATGGGTATGTTATAAATACTTACAACTAATCATTTATTATATAAATAACAATTAAAACCGCTTACAATCAAGTTATAACAATTTTATATTATGTTAGGTGTTTTGTGATTTTAACTTACTATTGTTAAAGTAACTTACTGTAGTTTAATGTTGATTAAGTATTGAGTAATTTGTAATACAAAAAATAAATAAATAATTTATAACAAAGTTGTACTGTATTAGTGAAATACGAATCAATCTAAATAATATGAAAACAAATATTGAATTTTGTATTATATGTGGTGATATATCAACAGGTATAATCAATACTGGTGAAATATAATAATTTATAATATTTGCTAAAATATTAAATGTGTTCTAGGTCGAAATTTTGGTGCCATTACATGCGAATGTTGTAAAGTATTCTTTAGGAGAAATGCATACAAGAACGAAGTAATTATTTTAATAAACATTTTAATTAATTAAAATAACTTCTAAATACTTGTTGTAAATTTTAAAACTTGTTATTTAGATACTAAAGTGTCGTTTAGACGGCAATTGTATTATCGATAATAAATCACGGAAACGATGCACGAGTTGTCGGATGAAAAAGTGTATACAATTGGGAATGAAAAGAGTAAATACAAGAATATTCTATGTGTTTATTATAAGTATTAATTAAAAATAAATAACAAATTTTTAAAATTTTAGGAATTGGTTAAAAGAAACACAACGAAAGGTAACGATAGATTGGAAAAGTGTGTTATAACTAATGATATGACTATTAGTTTAAGAAATAAGAATTTCAATAAATTTGTGAAAAATAATAACAAAGAAATAAATGAAATGCAGTTAATTACGTCTACCAATAATTATGGCAGTAATACATTGTTTCAAAATATTAATCACAATGACATGAGTGCGAAGTTGTCATTTAGTCCAGTGTTTAGCTATTTAGACACATATAAAACATTCAGTGATTTGGAAATAAACAGATTTAATGAATTGTTTTTGTCGTCAAAAATCTTTAATTATAAATCAAACCTAAGAATTACATACGAATTGACAAATCTGTTTGATATCAACTATACGTGCAATAAATTGTTGGACAGGGATCTCGAGGATGTCATCTCTTTAACTAAAAACCTTAACTCATATAATAATCTGTGTTTTAACGATCAGTTGGCGCTCATTAAGTATGGCTTTCTTGAGATTGTTATACTCCGACATTCAATACAATATGACTTTAATACCGATTATTGGTGTTGTGCGAGGGTTTGTATATATTATATACAGTTATATTTAAATAGGTTTTTAAATAATGTGGACATTATTACAGAGTATACAGCGATCACAGAATGTAAGAGTTTGTACTTTCAAATTGACGGCTATTAAACATGAGAAACGAAATATATATTTGTTTTACAAAGATTATTTCAATAAATTACACGGCGATTGTCACCAGGATTCTGTTATTTTAGACTTGGTAATGACTAAAAATTAGATTAATTTTTGTATTGACTTTTTTTTAAAATTTTTAGTTGACAGCAATAGTACTGTTTAATCCAAATCGCCCAAATTTAATTCATAGGGATGTTGTGAAGTAAGTATTATATTAGTTAATATAAAGAATTAGTTAATTATTATATTATAAATAATTTTATAACTTTTATTTTAGATCTGAACAACAATTATATATTTATTTACTCCAAAGATATATGTATTTGAAATATGGATCAAAAGTGGAAACGCAGACAAAACTATCACAACTTATGAATATATTAATAGATTTACAATTTATATGTAATATTGAGAAAGAAAATGGATATAAATTGTATTTGGATTCTTACGGACCAATACTTAAAGAGATTCTCTTTGATGTAAAGACTTGTGATAAATAGTAATATTTAATATATTGTAATATTTTAATTAATTAAAACAAGTTAAATATTTTAAATTAAAAGAAATTATTTAATACTTATATCATAAGACATTTTAATGTGTTTAGTTTTATTATGTCTATAAATTTTAGACATTATTACTGTATATTGATAATTACATAGCAATTATTTGCAATTAATGTTATTTATATTATTAATAATTATTAAGACGTAATAATATTATTAAAAATACATATCATATGACTTTTAGACGTTATCAATAATGATTAGCAGATAATTGCCTGGCATTCAATTGGATTAATGTTATTTATGTAATATAATTATGAATACTTTATAATTAATTTTATAATTTATTATTGTTATATAATAATTTAATTGCCAGGATTAATATGCCTAAGAATAATTCTAAATGTGCTATTTGTGGTGATGTATCAATTGGTAAATAAATCTTATTATAAATCATGGTGATTATAAAATAGTTTAATAAAATTTAATATATTTATTATTTAGGCCGAAGTTTTGGTGCAATTAGTTGTGAGTCTTGTAAAGTATTCTTCAGAAGAAATGTTAAACAAAATGAAGTAATTTTTAAAATATAATTATTTTATTATTTAATTATAAAGTTATTTTTCAAGATTATAATTAAATATTTTTATATAAACTATTGTTTAGATTTCTGTGTGTCGTTTAAATGGCAATTGTATTATTGATATGAAGTCACGGAAACGCTGTACGAGTTGTCGGATGAAAAAGTGTATTCAAATGGGAATGAAAAGAGTAATTAATATAAAAAGTATTTATTAGTTTAATTGATAGTAATTTTTATCAAAATATTAGCAATTATTACAAAGTAAGGGAACGGAAGACTACAAAAGTCCAGAAACATGTGATTTAAATAGCGATACGACCAGTAGTTTAACAAACGATACTTTCGATGATATTATTGACAACAATGAGAAAGAGACAAATGAAATGCAAATAATTATGGCATCAAATAGTAATGAAAATAACAACTTTTTACACGATATTAATGTTAACGATATGTTTGTAAAGTTGTCATTCAGTCCAGTGTTCAGCCATTTAGACTCATATAAAACATTTAGTGATTTGGAAACAAACAGATTATCGGAATTGTTTATATCGTCAAAAGTATTCAATTATAAATCAGACAATAAAGAGATCAATACCAATGAAGTGACCGATTTGTATCAAATAAACTACACCTGCAATGGACTGATGGAGAGGGATGTCGAGGATATTGTCTATTTAACTAAAAACCTAAAATCATTCAATAATCTGTGTTTTAACGATCAGTTGGCGGTTATTAAGTACGGCTGTCTTGAGATACTTATGCTCCGGTACTCAACACTCTATGACATTAACTCTGATTTCTATTCGTGGGGAAGGGTTTGTATAATACATGCAATGAAAATAAATACTTGTATTAATTGCTGATATTTTTAAAAAGAGATATAAGAATCAAAAAGAGAGTGGATTCCGGTTAAGTGTACTTAAAAACGAGAAAAATGATCTATATCTATTTTACAAAGACTTCATGGTTAAAATCAATACTGAATGTGACCAGGATGGCATTATATTGGATGCGGTAGTATTTGTTGATTTATTGTGGTATAATTATTTATGACAATTGTATTTTTAATCAATAGTTGACAGCAATACTACTGTTTGATTCAAACCGACCCAATTTAATACACAGGGATGTTGTGAAGTAAGTAAAGTATATAATGCTTTTGATTACCGGTAATTAATTTGTTTAAAATTTTATTTTTAGAGCTGAACAGCAATTATATATTTATTTACTCCAAAGATATCTGTATTTGAAATATGGATCAAAAGTGGAAACAGAGATAAAGACATCAAAACTAATGAATGTATTAATAGATTTGCAATTTCTTTGCAATATTATTAAGAAAACTAGTTATGAATCATATTTGGATGCTTTTGGACCAATACTTAAGGAAATTCTTTACGACATTACAACTAATTAACTTCATTTTATGAATAATTATAAATTATGAATAATTATGAATATTAATAATTATGAATTAATTAACACATACATGTATGTTAACACATCATTGTTAATAAAATGCCAATAACTGTAACGGTAAAACTAAAAATGGGCATTAAAATATAAATATTGGTAACTAGATAGAATGCAATATTATAGACTATTAAATAAATCATTACAATTAATACTTTTTATAATACGAAATAAATTGAATATATTGAAAAATAATGTACATAATAATCAGAGCATTTCTAAATATGCATTTATAAGCAGTCAAATATGTCATATAATATGCAAGCAAACAGGGCCAAATATGCACTAAAATATGCATTTATTTTTCATAAATTTATTGATGAATATTGCAATTTTGCAATTAATATATCGATTATAAAGTTACTTGGTAAAATTTTGAATACTTAACTATAATTTGAAAAGTTTTTGCATATATTTAGTAATAAATGCTCAATTTTAATCAATGTTTCAAAAGCACACACTTTTGAGAAAATTTTATTTCTTTAGTTTTTCATTTAATTTAGGCCAATAAAATATTCTAAATATATTGATAAACCATTTTATGTGACTTAATTCATATTTTGGTATGTTTATAATTAGCTTGCAATGAAATTTTTTGTTTATATACATAAAAATGCATACATTTTTCAAAATTTGTCAAAATATGCGCTTAAAATGCAGTTATAGTCTAAATATGCGGTAACCCATGAAATATGCATTTATATGCATTTATAAACTCGGCTAAAGTGACCCCCAGTATGTGATCGGTGAACATCCGGACACTCGGGTTGATACAATGTACCGCTAAATATATGCGAGTATGCATTTAACAATGGCCTGATAATAATAATTGCAAAAATTAATAACACTGGTCATGAAATTACAAAACAATATATTAACAATTACTGTATATGACATTGATTCATTTCTTTTCACTAAACAATAGGAACATAAAGTGTATTATACAATAGTAGAAACCGTTTAACTGATTGCAGTATGTTTAAATAAAAACCATACAATCTTACCATCTTGTTTTTTTTAAATAATCGCTTGATGATAATAATATATTAATGTTATATTTACTAGTGTTCAATGGCTCTATTATACTATTTAATTTATATAATACTTAAGACACTTGTATTTACTAAAAATGTGTGTGTATTAAAATGTGACATAACGACATAATATTATCACAAGTTTATGTATTGTTTGTCATTTGCTAAATAAATATTTGTTAAGTTAATTTTAACCTTGATCAATTGTCCGTAAAAAAGACCATGCGCTATATGTGTAGGTAAATCAATGGGTAAATATTGTATAATAATCTGTGATATTCGTTATGTAACATACAGTAACTTATATTTGGTCAAGTTCGTTTTAATAAATGGTATAAAACTTAATATATTTAACCTTTGTGCCATATATTGATAAAAATAGATTAAATGCTTAGCAATCATCGAGATAAATATTATTTATATAATGAGGCAACCAATACTTTTCACTTTTAAACCTACATTAAATCATTAATTCGTAAACCATTCATATTAAACATAATAATTTAGTTAATATAACGTGATCGCAATGCGCCAAAAAAGTTATAAATGTGAAATTTGTGGTGACATTGGAGTTGGTAAATAAACTTTGTTTTAATTATTAAACTAGTTTTCTAACAATAATATTAATGATGTAATTTTAGGCAAAAATTTAGGTGCCATAACATGCGAGTCATGTAAGGTCTTTTTTAGGAGAAATACCACACAAAATGAGGTAAATATTTAAAAATAACTTTTTAATGCAATTAAATTAAAATTAATAGTATATTATTTCAGTACCAAAGTTGTCGTTATGACGGAAATTGTATTATTGATATGAATTCACGGAAACGTTGTACGAGTTGTCGAATGAAAAAGTGTATACAAATGGGAATGAAAAAAGTAAATACAAGAATATGTTTGAGAATATTAGTTGAGATTTTAATTCAGAATATTTTTTAAATTATTAGAAAATTAGGAAAATTAGTGAAACAAATGATACCGAAAGTGCGGCCGACTCTGTGCTCACTAACAATACAACAAACGGGTCTTTGAATAAAATTATCGTTAATAATGAGACAAATACTGAACAAGTAATGAATGAAATGCAGATAATTGTGGCCACAAATAGCGATACAATAATTAATAATTCATTGTTTCAAAATAATAGTTTCAATTATGTAAACGATATGTTTGTGAAGTTATCATTTAGTCCAGTGTTCAGACATTTAGACGATTATTCAATGTTTAGTGAATTAGAGAAAAATAGGTTAACAGAATTGTTTATATCGTCAAAAGTATTCAATTATAAATCAGATTATAATCTGCAAAATGCATACGAATTGATGAATTTGAATGAAATTACCGACACTTGCAATAAATACTGGGACAGAGATGTCGAGGATCTGATCTCTTTGACTAAAAACATCAATTCATTCAATAGTCTGTGTTTTAACGATCAGTTGGCACTCATTAAGTACGGCTGCTTTGAAATACTTATACTCCGGTATTCAATACATTATGACATTAATACCGATTACTGGACGTGGGTTTGGGTTTGTATACCAAATGCAGTGATAATCCGTTTTATATGATAATTGTCTGACTATTTATGTACAGAAATGTGTTGACAAAACTCCGATTGTCTTTACATTCAAATTAACTGCTATTAAACACGAAGGACTTAATATGTATTCATATTATAAAAGTTACTTATTAATAATGAACACGGAATGTAACCGGGATTGTATTATTTTGGACTTGGTAACAATTTTGATTAAAAATATTTTTTTTCATATTATAAATATAACTTTATATTCATTATTAGTTGACAGCAATACTACTGTTTGATCCAAACCGGCCAAATATAATGCACAGGGATGTTGTGAAGTAAGTGCTAATTACTTGAATAATAGCTATAAATAATTAATTACATTAATTTTCATTTCCAGAGCTGAACAGCAATTATACATATATTTATTACAGCGATATTTGTATTTAAAATATCGTTCAAATGTTGAAACTCATACAAAACTATCAAAACTGATGAATATATTAATAGACTTACAATTCATATGTAATATTGATAAGAAGAGATCACTTGACTTATACTTAGATTCATTCGGACCCATAATAAAGGAAATAGTTTTTGACGTCACCACTAACTGAAACGTTAAAATCTATGTAATAATTAATTAAAATTCTAAAATATCAAAAAATAAATGAAAGTTTATTAAAATTTAATAAATATTGTTGAATTTTATATGATTATAACTTGATATTAAAGTTATATTAAAGATATATTAAAGTTATATTTAAGTTATATTAATATTGTTTATTACCAATATTCTAACATTTCCCTAACCAAGTTTAACTGTATTACTCTTCTCATTCCATCTTGACTTAATTCCATCTGATCTATCACTGTAAAACCCTAGTAAATCTATTATAACTAAATAGATTAAAGCGGTGCCAATTTGAGTGCATTTGTCACAGAATAATTAAATTATTTTATTACAAATATTAAAGTTGTGTTTAATAAAACAAAATCAAACATTACTTTTATATGAAATTAAGTTTTTCTGTGTCTACCCTGTAATGCACCCAATTTGCACTGCTTTGATGTCTTTATCAATAATTACATTAATTTTGATGCCATCCAATTTAGAGTCTATTTAAGTAAAAAAGTATTTGACATATTTAAATATAGGAAGTTGTTTAATTATTGGTTTATTAATTACGGGTTATTAAAATTGAGTTGATCCTGGTTAATTTGTGATATATTAAGTCAATTTATTCTCACTGATAGATATTGTTTTACTTACTCACTGTAACGATTATTTAATTGGCAACCATGTGATTAAATGAGATAAATGTCATAGTTACATGATTTTTACTGTTTATAACAAAAAATGTTAACACATTTACTTTAACTTCAAACTAGTTACAACTAATTATTTATTAAATTAACCTTAATTTATTATTAAATGTTTTTACAAGAATTGTATTAAAAATATAAAAGTAAATGCAGCGAAAAAGCAATAAATGTGTTGTTTGTGGGGATAATGGAGTTGGTAAATGTCAATCCAATTATTAATTATCATATTCTATATATATTTTTGTAAAATCTATTTATTATTTAGGTTTTAATTTTAGTGCCATTACTTGTGACTCTTGTAGAGTATTCTTCAGGAGAAATATCAATAAAAATAAAGTAATTTTTTAATTCACTTTTAAAAATAAATTATATTATTTTACAATTAATTGTTATTTAGGTATCAAAGTGTCGATTTGATGGCAATTGTATTATTGATATGAAATCACGGAAACGCTGTACGAGTTGTCGGATGAAAAAGTGTATACAAATGGGAATGAAAAATGTGAATATATTAATATTTTTGAGACTTTTATTTAGTATTTTAACAAAAATTATTATTGAAAATTACTAGCAATCGATAGTCGTTAATGAAAGTACTGACGAATTTGTATTAAATAATGAGACCATAAGCTCAACAAATAGTAATTTGGATTTGAAAAACAATAATGAGACAAATAGTGAGAAACCGATGAACGAAATACAGATATATAACTCGTATGAATCAACGGATAGTGATATCAATAATTCATTTCAAAATAATAGTTTTGATAACATGTTTGCGAAGCTATCATTTAGTCCAGCGTTTAGCCATTTAGACACAAATAAAACATTTAGTGATTTGGAAATAAACAGATTTAATGAATTATTTATATCGACAAAAGTATTCAATTATAAGTCAGAATATAATGCAAAAAATGCAATTGAATTGAAGAATTCGTTTAAAGTCAACAAAACTAGCTTTGAATTTATGGACAGAGATGTCGAGGATGTGATTGCTTTGACCAAAAATATAATGTCATTCAATAGCCTGTGTTTTAACGATCAGTTGGCGCTCATTAAGTACGGGTTAATTGAGATTGTTTTACTCCGGTATTCAATACTATACTATATAAACACCGATTACTGGACGTGGGCTTATGTTTGTATACCAAATGTAGTGATAATCCCTTTTATATTAATTATGTATTTGTTTGTTAATAGAAATCAGTGGATGAAAGTCAAAGAATTTTTAAGTTTAAATTATCCTCAATTAAATACAAAAATCCTAATAATTATTTGTATTATAAAGAATTATTTACAATCATAAACATTGATTTCAACCGAGATTGTGTTATTTTGGATTTGGTATGTATTTAGATTATTTACATTAATTATTTTAATATCAAAATAACAAATGCAATTTCACTTTAAACATAACTTCTGGTTGACAGCAATAGTACTGTTTAATCCACATCGACCAAAACTTATGAATATGGATGTTGTGAAGTAAGTGCTTATAACTATGAAAATTTAATTTAATTTAAAACTATAACAATTTATTATAATTTTAGAGCCGAACAGCAATTATATATTTATTTACTCCAAAGATACCTGTATTTGAAATACGGTTCAAAAGTGGAAACAGAGATAAAACTATCAAAACTTATGAAAACATTACTTGATTTAAAGAACTTTTGTTATAATGAAAGTAAAACATATGAAATATATTTGGATTCCTTCGGACCCCTATTTAAAGAGATGTTTTGCGATGTATTGACCGATTGAAATATTTGCAACCTTTCAATAATTAAATAAAAAACACATTAAAATAACGCAATAAATTAATAATTATTAAGTTATGTTACATGAACTGCAGTTATATTGTTAATAACAATTTGTTATATTTAATATTTATTTTCTATGTAAAGTAAAATAATAACTTCTAAAAACTAACAATGTCTTATGTATTTACATTTGTCTTACAGTTTGTCTTACAGTTTGCCTTACAGTTTGTCTTACATCTATGTATTAAAATAAAGACTACATTCGAGTTGATGATGGTTAATTTATCACAGTTATTATTTGGTGTTATGAAATATTAAATACTCAATACGTTAAGACCATGATGACATGTGGAGAAAACTTTGCTGTTAACTTCACATACTGTACTGTAGATTATTGGCTTAGTGACCAATCATGATAAATATTACCATTATAAATTTTTGTATGATATATTTCTGTAATGAGAATATCGGCATTGCACTTGTATAAAATTAAATGCAATATTTATAATTTACTATTTATTTAAACAATATTTAAATACATGTCTCATAATTGTGCTGTTTGTGGTGAAAAGCGAGTTGGTATATATCAATAAACTTTATTAAATGTTTTAAGTTAATTATTTATTATTTAGGCTATAATTTTGGTGCCATTACTTGCCATTCCTGTAGAGTATTCTTTGGGAGAAATACAAACGGGAATAAAGTATTAAAATTTAAAATTATTATAAATTATATTATGATTTTATTTTCTAATGAATAATTCATTAAATAATATTTTAGATATCAAAGTGTCGTTTTGATGGCAATTGTATTATTGATGTGAAGTCACGTAAACAATGTATGAGTTGTCGTATGAAAAAGTGTATTAAAATGGGAATGAAACGAGTAATTATTATTAATAATTATAAATTGACATTTAGTTAATTGTATGTTTAAATTATTTAGGAATTTGTTATAAATCATGATCCAAATGACTCGGAGACTACAGACATATCTGATTCAATTAGCGATACGACCAGTAGTTTAAGTAACGATACTTTTGCTGAGATTATCGGTGATAAACAGTCAAATGAAGTGACAATATATATGAACACCAATAGTAATAGCAGTAATAACTCAATTCAAAAATATGGGACTAATAATTTCAATTATACTGACAGTGTGTTTGCTAAGTTGTCATTTAGTCCAGTGTTTAGCCATTTAGGAAATTATAATACATTCAGTAATTTGGAAATAAACAGATTTAATGAATTATTTTTATCGACAAAAGTATACAATTATAAGTCAGAATATAATGAGAAAAATGCTATTGAATTGAAGACTGCGTTTGAAGTAAACAACATTTGTTTTAAGTTCATGGATAGGGATGTCGAGGATCTCATCTCTTTGACTAAAAGCCTAAAATCATTCAATAATCTGTGTTTTAACGATCAGTTGGCGCTCATTAAGTACGGCTTTCTTGAGATTGTTTTACTCCGATATTCAATACTCTATGATTTTAATACCGATTACTGGACGTGGCTTTATGTTTGTATATTACATGTATTGATAATCCGTTTTGTATTAATTAAAAATTATTAATTTGTTTACAGAAATCAGTCGACAAAATTGAAAGTGTATTTCACTTTAAATTGTCCATAATTAAAGACGAAGCACTTAATACTTATTTGTGTTATAAAGAATTATTTACAATCATTAACATTGATTTTAACCGAGATGGTGTTATTTTGGACTTGGTATAAATTTAGATTTGGATTATTTACATAAAATTTTTAATAACAATTGAAACTGTTGTTTTTATTAATCTAGTTAACAACAATCCTATTGTTTAACCCAAATCGACCTAATTTGGTGCACAGGGATGTTGTCAAGTAATTATTAATCACTATAAATAATAGTTTTAAATTATTAATTACTTTAACTTCTTTTTCAGAGCTGAACAGAAATTATATATTTATTTACTCCATAGATATCTGTCTTTAAAATACAAATCAAAAGTGGAAACTCAGGCAAAACTATTGAAACTAATGAATACATTAATAGATTTACAGAATTTCTATTATATGGAGAGTAAATCATATCAATTATCGTTGGATTCTTTCGGACCCTTATTTAAAGAGATGTTTTCCGATGTTATCAATCATTAAATAATAAACTTTTTAAAATAATTTGTTATTTAACGCACAGCGACCCAGGGGAAAATTCATCCCCCTCCATCAAATTGAGGGATGTGGCAAAAAATGCTAACGAGTCAATGGTAACTGTTGACTCACCTTGGTAAATTAGACTTTTAATCAATCAAGACATTGAAAATTATTGATCAGCCAATACTCATTAGTAGAACAAAAATTAATTGTAATATGAATGTCAATTGGCCCACATGTTACATGTGGACAAATTAGAAATGAGTTAATAACTCATGTAATTTCTGTATTTTTAAATAATATTGTTGCTAATAATTGCTATCATTACTAATAAAAGCTATCATTACATTAGCTCTATTATTCTATATAAAAAATCATATAACACCTATCTTAAATGTGTTGCTAACTTGTTATCTAATGATTCATTAGATAACAAGTTAGCAACACATTTAAGATAGGTGTTATATGATTTTTTATATAGAATAATAGAGCTAATGTATAAATGTATGTAAATATCGTAGCTTCCATATTTTTGCACTGATAAATTATTTGGATTTGTATTTATTTATAATTTACACAATAATTTAATTATCAAGGTAGTAATTGTCTTAGAAAATGCCACGAAAAATGAAATGTGTTGTTTGTGGTGATATAGGAGTTGGTAAGTAAATCGCTTATAAATAATTAATGTATTGCTACTGATTTATTTTAAAATCAAGGTAAAAATTATGGTGCCATAACATGTGAGCCGTGCAAAGTATTCTTTAGGCGAAATACTCTTGAAAATAAAGTAAATAATTTGTTTATAAAATATGCTTTAAGTAGTAATTGATTGTTATTATTATCACAATTATTAGAGACAAAAGTGTCGTTTTGATGGCAATTGTATTATTGACGTGAAGTCACGGAAAAATTGTATGACTTGTCGGATGAAAAAGTGTATTAAAATGGGAATGAAAAAAGTAAATATTATTAATACTTAATAATATCATTAAATTTAGTTAATTGTAATTTTTCCAATTATTTAGGAATTTGTTATTAATCATAATCCGAACGACTCGGAGAATACAAACATATCTGATTCAATTAGCGATACGACCAGTAGTTTAAGTAATAATACAATCAGTTTAAGTAACGATACTTTTGATGAAATTATCGGTGATAATCAGTCAAATGAAGTGACGATATATAGTAATAGCAGTAATTATTCAATTCATAAATATGGGACTAATAATATTAATGATATGTTTGTAAAGTTGTCATTTAGTCCAGTATTTAGCCATTTAGACGATTATAAAGGGTTTAGTGATTTGGAAACAAACAGATTAACCGAGGTGGTTGTGTCGGCACAAGTATTCAATTATAAATTAAATTGCAATCCCAGAGATGTGTGTGAAGTAACCAATTTGTTGGAAATTAACAAATTTTCTATTGAAATGATGGAAAGAGATGTCGAGGATCTGATCTCTTTGACTAAAAATCTAAATTCATTTAATAATCTCTGTTTTAACGATCAGTTGGCGCTCATTAAGTACGGCTGTATGGAAATACTTGTACTCCGATATTCAATACTGTATAACATTAATACCGATTACTGGACGATGGCTTATGTTTGTATATCAAATACAGTGATAATCCATTTTATAATACACTCTTAAGTCAAAAGTACTAATAATTAACCAAAATACTGCTTATGCATTGCGAATAATTAATCATAGATGGGTAATTAAACGTTGCAAATACATGGGTAATTTTAAATGCTTACATGTGAGTAAATATGAATAGACATAGATAGATAATTATATGTAAAAAGTTTTTTAAAAAAGTGACTGGGCCGGGAATCGTACCGAGCTTATCACACTCAGAGTCGTAGACGCTAACCACTGAGCTATGGTGACATGATTGAATCATAGTCGATAAATATGTTTCAATACATAACTTAATTACATTATCTGTAAGTTCTTGAATACATTGAATATCATGTATGGGTTTGCGTGAAAAATAAAGTTTGAAATAGTTTTAGTTTGAATCACACGTTCAAAACAGGAATACAGTGTTGTTATTTAAAGTGCTATACAATTACATAACATGGATAAGAGTGTATAGTGTACTGTACTGTACACTGTATAGTGTAGTGTCGCTAACAGTTGCAGTTGCAGTGCAATTGAAATGCTAGACTCGTTTGATATGACAATACAATCGTTACAATTGTGGTCTCAATCACTGTAAGGTGAAATGAACTAATAATTACCCAAAATACTGCTTATGCTTTGCGAATAATTAGACATAGATGGTTAATTAGACGTTGCAAATATATGGGTAATTTTAAATGCTTACATGTGAGTAAATATGAATAGACATAGATTGATAATTAAATGTGAAAAAGTTTTTTAAAAAAGTGACTGGGCCGGGAATCGTACCGAGCTTATCACACTCAGAGTCGTAGACGCTAACCACTGAGCTATGGTGACATGATTGAATCATAGTAACTGAATACACTATTTATAGATGACTGAGTAATTGAACATTCATGAGTATTTCTAATCATGAGTTAGAGGGTAATATGTTTTGCCATTCCAGTCATGAATTGTATTCTGTCATTGACTGTGATTATGAGATGTCATTATATGAACGATTAGTTTTATCCATCACTAAGACTCACACACAATACGTCCACAAAATGACACATTCACCCACAAGTGGTTAAATAGTTTTACACATTTGCAAGTTTTACTCATTTTGGTTGAATGTATTTACCCAAAAATTTGATGGGTAAATGTTAGTAATGCAAAATAATGCAAAATAATTACAGTGATTGTTTTTGCTATGCTTTGCAATTATAGCCATCAATTGTAATACATGTTTAAATACAGGACTGCCTTCACTGCCTGTCATATGAAATGTACGTTACATTCATAATAGCGTTCACAACAACAGTGTTTGCACTCAAATATAGTGCACACAAAAACACCAACACTTGTGAGCATTCATTCAACGCTTAAGCCATTCAGTCATTCATTTCAGTCAATGCTTTTCAATGTCTCTCACATTTTGAGCCATAGTTTTTTCAAATGCTTTTCAAATAATTAACTGTTTTCACAATTAATTGTTCAAAACATACACACAATCGTCCACTAAATCATTCATTTCACTGGTAATTCATTTCATCCCTTATTTATAGCATATATTTCTAATCATTTGTATATAAATTGTGTTTAATTTTGTGTTTTTCAATAATCAACAAATTATTGAATATTTTTAACTTTTTTGTTTTGTTTTGTGATTTGCTTTTTGTGTTTGATTTTAACTGTTATTATCGCATATTTTGCTAGTTTTTAGTGAATTATAATTGAATTCAATGTATGTCTTGAATAATGAGTTATATTTAGATTTAATGTTAATTTTAATTGTAATCTCATTATGTTTTTGTAGTTATAATTAAAGCCCAAACAACTGATGGCTTTTAGCCATTGATTTACACATAGCGTTAACATTGAATGACTAATCAATGGTTTGCTTTATATTTCAGACAAAATCATTAATATATCAAATGTTTTATCGATAAAGTGATGACAAACTCCACACAAACTTCAAGTTAATGTGTCTTTGATTTGAAAGTTAATACAAATTGAATGAATGATTAAGTGATGCCATATATGGCTATTGATGTCAATTGAATACAAGTGTGTTCTGTATGTGAAGACATTTCTCAGACAATAATTATCCGCTTTTGTCAACAATTCATACATAAGGAGTGAAAACCCATTTTTAAAGACACCATGACTTCCAGTGAATTGGATGAACACTTGGATCACTTAATTCACATCACATCCGATGAATACCAGTATTTGGACTCAACAGACAATTGGCTCACATTTGACTCGGACTCGACTCTAA